TTTTTTTTTTTTTTTTTTTTTTTTTTTTTTTACTTCCCCTCTGCCTTGTAGCATTGTGTTAATCATCACCTTCTGGGCAAAGAAGTGAAGAAAAGGCTTCAGGCTGGACCCACTGATGTGCAAATCAGTGGGAACTCCCGGGAATATTGAAGATTTCCTCGCTGACAGTCCCTGAGAGGTCAGAGCTCGCTGGTTGTCTGCCACCAAACTGGGCTTGGTGGTCCCCCAGCAAATGGTTCTTACCCGTGGCAGCCTTTGCCACAGGCTGATAATTGAGGAACTGTAGGATGTGGAATATCCTGAGTTGGAAGGGGCCCACAGGGATCATCCAGTCCAGCTCCTGGCCCTGAGGAGGGGAATAATCCCACCCTGTGCTGAAATGTGAACCTCAGCCATCAGCCACCTCACGTTATCCACCACCACGGGCTGAGAAACGCCATTAATCATCAGATTATTGACTGATTAATTAATATGGCGTTGCTAAAATGCTTCTAATCCTCCTCTGGTGCCCAGGAAACAGGAGGCCTTGGGAGAGGAGGAGGGTGGTGCCAGCATTTCTCCTGGTCCCCCATCACTTTAACCACTGAAAAGTGGCAGAGAGATGAACAGGCTGTTCCTGACATTAGAGCCATAAATAATTCCACAAAAGACACGGCCCTGGCCTTTAAGAAGGTCTCAGGGAAAAACAGGGGAGGCTGAAATATTGATGGATGTGTCTGTGAGAGCTGTTAGGAAAAAAGGGAAGTGCTTTCCATGGGATTGGTGTGAGCCCCCAGCACCGGGATGAGGTGTGGGGGGGAACCTTGGCCATATCCTGATAAAAAAATGTGAGGGCACAGCACCAAGGAACAGCATGAACAAGAAAAACACCACCATTTCAACAGGACTTCAGGAAATGGGGGCCAAAATCCTCCTTAAACAGGCAAAAACTGTGGTGAAAGCACGGAGAGCTTTCCCAGCAGGAGTCAGAGCAGGTGAGGACAGAGCTCAGGTGTGTTCCCCCCGGGCTGCAGAGACAGAAAACATCTTCCCTCCACCTGTTAGTGCATGGAGAGAGAAATGAGCCTCTCCCTGCCATCCCCTGCATCTATTTTTTTGCGTGTCCTGGAGTGCACTGGAGAAATGTGTTTTCCATGTTCCATTTCCCAGCCACGTCCCCGGCTCCCACCGGCGGGCACGTCACGTCCCAGCGCTGCAGAGATGGTTCTACACCAGCCACGCTCCCAAAATCAGGCCACCCCCAGAAATCCCTCCCACCCCACCCCCAGAACCCCACCAAAGGCTTCATGGAAAAAAAAACAAACCATGAGATGCCTTGAGTAGAGAGGGAACAACCACCTTTGATCAAAGGTTGGGCTTGATGACCTCGGAGGTCTTTTCCAACCTTAATAATTCAGTGATCCTACAAAAGGGTCCTGGTTTTGTGGGGTTTTTAAGGTTTAATGGCAGGAATGACTTGCACATACATATAAAAAACCCTGCTGCTGCCACCTCTCAGCACCCAGGGAGTGATGCTTTGCTGGGATTGATCTTTGTTGGACAATCCTTAAACTGCAAAGGAAAACAAATAACAGCTCCAAGTCCTTAAAAAAAACAAAACAAAACAAAACAAAACCAAAAAAAACCCAAAAACCAAACAAATAAGCAAACAAACAAACAAAAAGGGTTATGGGGGGAGATAAATTATTGTAACATTTGGGTTGGAAAAGCCCTCTAAGACCATCAGGTCCAACCATTCCACCACTGTCCCATGTCCCCAAGTGCCACATCTTTTAAAACCCTCCAGGGATTGGGGGATTCCATCACTTCCCTGGGCAGGACAACCCTTAATATCCAACTTAAACCTCCCCTGGCACAACTTGAGGCCGTTTGCTCTTCTGTTACTTGGGGAGAAGAGAAGCCCCAGTGGGAACCCTGAGCCTGGTTCACCCCACCCCAATCCCAGAGCTCTGGATCTGCAGTGAATTTTTTCCTGCTGGAATCAGCTGGGTGTGCT